GTACAGGGTGGGTCAAATTCGACGCTTTTAAATGGAAACACCCTTTTCTATAGGAGATAGACGAAAACTAATATCGGTGTCTGGAGCTTAATTTTCATCAAAAACATGATGGTGACAACCGCACATCAATATCTGTTACCGTTTCGGAGTTACGGGGTGTTTTTAAAAAATGTACAGGGTGGGTCAAATTCGACGCTTTTAAATGGAAACACCCTTTTCTATAGGAGATAGACGAAAACTAATATCGGTGTCTGGAGCTTAATTTTCATCAAAAACATGATGGTGAAACCGCACATCAATATCTGTTACCGTTTCGGAGTTACGGGGTGTTTTTAAAAAATGTACAGGGTGGGTCAAATTCGACGCTTTTAAATGGAAACACCCTTTTCTATAGGAGATAGACGAAAACTAATATCGGTGTCTGGAGCTCAATTTTCATCAAAAACATGATGATGAAAACCGCTCATCAGTATCTGTTACCGTTTCGGAGTTACGGGGTGTTTTTCAAAAATGTGCATTTTTAACAAATCGCTGTAACTTTTTTGTTATGGATAATTTTGTATTTCTATGAAAACATTTTCAAAGCACCTTTTTACGTAGAATTTAATGGTTTAAGTATATTTTTTTTAAATTAATAATTTAAGAGTTATCAACAGAAAAATTGATTTTTTATTTGGGACACCCTCTATATTTTTAATTAACTGAAAAGAATTTAAAATTACATTTCCAAAAATATAGCACACTTGATATTTTGTTATAATCCCCTTCGAAATACAGAATTTTTAAAAGTTCGCCACTTTTAACTAGTAGGCTTTGGACCGCTTATTGATGATATGCGCTTAATGGAACTCGAAAACAAATTTTTCCAGCAAGACGACGCACCGCCTCTGAACGCTGAAGTTTTCAGCAAATTTTTGCAGCCAATTTTAAGAATAATTGAATAGATAACCAAAATCCCAGCCGTTGGCCGTCGAGGCCGCCTGACTTAGTGCCAATGGATCTAATCCTATGGATATATTTGCGGAAGAATAAAGGTTCCTTATTCTTCCGTATAATCTAGACAAGACTTAGAAATACTTAGCAGTTATGAGAGGGTATCTTTCACACCAATTCCGCGAGAAATGTTCAAAAACTGCCCCGTCTGTCCATAACAGAAGACGGTCGATATGTCACAACACCTGTAGCAAAATCTCATGTCTTGGTTTGCTATTTATTATATAAAATTCTGCATCTCTCATAGCAAATATTATTTTCGTTTTAATTGATGCTCACAGCTAGAATTTTTTTGCATTACAGCCGGTGCCAAAAATTATACTTAAACCATTAAATTCTACGTAAAAAGGTGCTTTGGAAATGTTTTCATAAAAATACAAAATTTTCCATAGCAAAAAAGTTACAGCGATTTGTTAAAAATGCATATTTTTGAAAAACACCCCGTAACTCCGAAACTGTAACAGATATCGATATGCGGTTTTTACCATCATGTTTTTGACAAAAATTGAGCTCCAGACACCGATATTAGTTTTCGTCTATCTCCTATAGAAAAGGGTGTTTCCATTTAAAAGCGGCGAATTTGACCCACCCTGTACATTTTTAACAAATCGCTGTAACTTTTTTGCTATGGAAAATTTTGTATTTCTATGAAAACATTTCCAAAGCACCTTTTTGCATAGAATTTAATGGTTTAAGTATAATTTTTTTAAAATTAATAATTTAAGAGTTATCAACAGAAAAATTGATTTTTTATTTGGGACACCCTCTATATTTTTAATTAACTGAAAAGAATTTAAAATTACCTTTCCAAAAATACAGCACACTTGATATTTTGTTATAATCCCCTTCGAAATACAGGATTTTTAAAAGTTTACCACTTTTAACTAGTAGGCTTTGGACCCCTTATTGATGATATGGTCTTAATGGAACTCGAAAACATATTTTTCCAGCAAGACGATACACCGCCTCTGAACGCTGAAGTTATCAGCAAATGTTTGCAGCCAATTTCAAGAATAATTATTGAATAGCTAACCATGATCCCAGCCGTTGGCCGTCGAGGCCGCCTGACTTAGTGCCCATGGATCTAATCATATGGATATATTTGCGGAAGAATAAAGGTTCTTTATTCTTTGGTATAATCTAGACAAGAATTAGAAATACTTAGCAGTTATGAGAGGGTATCTTTCACCTCCTACTAAGTTAATGGATTCCGCTAGAAATGTTCGAAAACGGCCCCGTCTGTCCATAACAGAAGACGGTCGATATGTCGAACACCTGTAGCAAAATCTCATGTCTTGGTTTGCTATTTATTTTTATTGTTATTAGATATAGTTTAAATGTGTGTTGATGTTGGTTAAATATATTTTAAATAGTTATAAAATTCTGTATCTCTCAGTGTTATATTATTTTCGTTTTAATTGATGCTCACAGCTAGAATTTTTTTGCATTACAGCCGGTGCCGTTCAAAGCCTACTTATTTAAAGCAAGCGAATTTTTATATATTCTATATCTCGAAGAGGAATCGAGCAAAATATCAAGTGTGTTATATTTTTGGAAAGGTAATTTTAAATTCTTTTCAATAAATTAAAAATATACAGGGTACCCATATAAAAAATCAAATTTTCTGGTGATAATTCTTAAATTATTAATTTAAAAAAAATTATACTTAAACCATTAAATTCTACGTAAAAAGGTGCTTTGGAAATGTTTTCATAAAAATACAAAATTTTTCATAGCAAAAAAGTTACAGCAATTTGTTAAAAATTCATATTTTTGAAAAACACCCCGTAACTCCGAAACGGTAACAGATATCGATATGCGGTTTCCACCATCATGTTTTTGACAAAAATTGAGCTCCAGATACCGATATTAGTTTTTGTCTATCTCTTATAGAAAAGGGTGTTTCCATTTAAAAGCGTCGAATTTGACCTACCCAATACTTGGGATGTGTGTCATCAGTGTTTCACAAGTACACGGGACCTAAAGTTTATTGCCGAATCCGAACGGCACTATTTTTGAGAGGCTGTACAAGGCAAATATACTCAAGGTGGTTTGTCATTGCCTTCCTTGAGGTGGCGGCTCGTTGGTCGCTCTATTTAGATAAACAAATATTTTTATTTAAATAAATAAATCGACCGTACTGGCTGGGGATCGAACCCAGTACCTTCAGCTCCGCAGATCGACACACTAACGCTGGAGGTACGGCCGGCCACAAAATAAGTTCACTGGACACAATTTACCTCTATACAAAAGTGCTTCGTTTGTCCGTTAGAGGGCATCAATCAAAGATAAACCCGAACGTTAATTAATTTAAAAAATATTATTTTTTTAAGCTTTTTACGTAACTTATCGTGAAATATAATTTGTGATAATAACATAAAATTCCATATTTTCGCTAACTAGAATATTATAGCATAATAGGTTTTATGCGCCTCCATAACTTAATGTGAGAAAAAAAAAATTCCTCAAAAAGTATGCATACGGTGGCGATTTTTAACAAGAAACAAAAAATGTATTAAATACTAGAGAGACCATTTTACGAAAAGAAAATCGACTGTCGGTGGAGTTCGAAAATACTTATACTAAAATTTATGTAGGGGTGGGGATAGTTTTCACCCTTCCCGTATATTTTCTTGATTTTTGTGAATGTTAAAGCACTTAGCAAAACATAGACAACCAAAAATTTCATTCAAATCGGAATAACGGTTCTTAAAATATCTGAAAAAATATGTGTATTTTTTTAAAGTTTGATGCCCTCTAGTGGACAAACGAATCACTTTTGTATAGACGTAAATTGTGTCCAATGAACTTATTTTAATTCCAAAAATACGTAGTAGTTCTACGTCCACGGTATATTGGGACAAACTGTATATGTTAAAGAAGCACAAAATTTATTTAGTTCACAGAAACGCTGATTACGTTGATTATTAAGTTTTTTGCTCTAACATTTTGAAATAGCAAAAAATATGACGTTGATATAACCATCTATTAAAAAATGAAAACGAAATGATATTATCGAATGTTATACCACAAGATGTTTCGGGATTACCGAATAATACTTTTACCTGACACGAAATGCGTTACCCGGCAACACTACGACTCCGAAGTCCGAAGTAGTGTTGCCTGTATCGCCTTGAGTGTCAGGCAAAAGTATTAGGTAATCCCGAAACATCGAGTTGTATTCAAAAAATAATACAACGAAGTAAAGTACATATATATCCTCTTTCTTTTGCCATTTTGTAATAAGAATTGACGGGATATTTTGTGGAACTGACAGAAATGACTTCTGAATTAATATTTCAAAAAATGACAATTACAATATGGCCACCAAGCGATAATCACTTAAATGTATATCACTTTCCTTCTATATAGGAAAAATATACATAGAGCTGTATAATCATAGAAATACGTTTTGATTTTTGGGACTTGGAAAGGATTCAACTATAGTTTTTTTATTTTGTCTAAAACGGCATGGAAATTTGGAAAAGTGTAAACGAGATTAACCATTTTGGAACAAGCAAAAACTTTTTATGAAGAACGCACTTTTCTCCATAAGTTAATACTAAAAAAAGTTTTCCCTTTGTAAAGACAATCCGGGGACACACTGTAGAGCATTTTCTAGAAAATAAAATTAGAAGTTAAAAGATTCTCACAGACACTCATATTTTTTTCCTGGTGCGGTTAGTTCAGAAAACATTAGTAGAATAATTCAAAGAGAATAATAAACACTTGCGTAAAAGTATTAGGTAAGTAAAATTCTATGGAAAAACTGTCATTTCTTATTAAAATCCAGTAAGAATATGAATGGTGAGTAACAGAAGGGTAAAAGGTACATGAATATACATAGTCCAAACCAAAACAAAGAAAATCTTTTGTTCCTGTACTTTGTTAAACTACTTTATCATCTGTGCATTTTGTTAAAAAACGACTGATAAACAAAATCAACTGTTGGTTTCGAAAATTGTTACCATGCCAATTATACAGTTATTGTGTAATGATAACTATAAAGTCAGATGAAAGTCAGTGTCATTAGCTTAGACACATATATTTTTTTATTTCTAGTTCTAGAATTATTATAGCAATAAATATGGAAGATACAAAGTCTTTGGTGACGATATTTCTACAGAAAATATTTCACGATCGTCAGTATATCATCGATAACACTTACAAGATTATTTACGACTACAACAATGGCGATAGGAAAAAGATTGATTACGAAAAAACTCTGAAGAGCATTTGCAGCCAGTTAGGCAAAGAAATCCCCAACCAAGTGCTGGTGTATTTACTCACCTTAGTTGATATGCCCTTGGACCTTGCTGAATCGGACGATGGCCAGTTGAAACCTGTCATCGAAAAGATAAAAACCTTAGAACAAATTCAAAAGACTCAGAGTTGTCTAACTGATACCATTAGACCACACCTTGGAGAATGTGTGACTAATAAAACTAGCGAAACACTTCAAGATGACAACAGTCATCAGTCAGACGAAGAGAGTTCAAGCAGACATGAAGAAGATGAAGAACAGATACCTAGATCTATAAAAACTAAAAGAAAATTAACTAATGATGGATCTAAAGAAGAAACATTAGATATCGATCTTCCGAGTTTACTTGACCTCACTGCCGACGCCGTGATAAAGAACCACAAAAAATTGAAAACGTGTTACCAAAGAAAGTTTGACAAGGCCTGGAAATATATAAAATCGAATCTTTTCACTGGAGATTCCTTAGAAAAGTGTTACGAGACATTGAGAGACCTGAATAAGAAAAGGAAATTGCTGAGGGATATTGAAAACGATAACATAACCGATGCGGTTGTGGCTGAACTCTATGGAGACACTGACATTTTTTTGAAAGAAAAACATGTTTATGACATAGTAAATATGGATATAGATGAGTTGGTTGCAAAGAGGTTAATTTGCCCTAATATATTTTTTTCTGTAAGATTAATAAAATATTAACAAATATATAGTTACATGTTACATTCAAATATTTTTTTATTTATTTTCATATCTACAACCTAACCTTCCCAACCAAGAGAGAGAGAGAGAGTGTTGGTTTATTTACTTACCTTAGTTGACATACCCTTAGACCTTGCTGAATCGGACCATGGCCAGTTGAACCCTGTCATCGAAAAGATAAAAACCTTAGAACAAATTCAAAATACTCAGAGTTGTCTAAATATTAGACCACATCTTGGAGAATGTGTGATTAATAAAACTAGTGAAACACTTCAAGATGACGACAGTCATCAATCAGACGAAGAGAGCTCAAGCAAACTAGAAGAAGATGATGAAGAAAAGATACCTAGATTAGAAAAATCAAAGGTTTTCCTTGATTTAAGTAAAAACAATCTTCGGATTGTCACGGGGTTTCTAACAGGACACTGTCCCCTCAACGAACACCTCAGTAGGCCGAAGCTGAGAAACACCGGCGAATGCAGATTCTGTGGGGAAAATGGGGAAACACCAGAACACCTTATCACTGAGTGCGCCGAGACGACGACCATTCGTGCCATGAACTTTGGCACGGCTGATGTCAAGGATGGAGAGCTGACCTCTGTGAAGCCGTCTCAGATACTGGTTTTTTTTAAAGCCTTGAGACTGTATGATGAGTCATAACTCGTTATGACTCAGAAAAGGGAACACACAATAGATCTGTAAGGTTGCAGTGACTAACTCCCCTCCTAAACATTCTACATTCTACCTAGATCTATAAAAACTAAAAGAAAATTAATTAATGATGGATCTAAAGAAGAAACCTTAGATAACGATCTTCCAAGCTTACTTGACCTCACTACCGACGCCGTGATAAAGAACCACAAAAAACTGAAAACGTGTTACCAAAGAAAGTTTGACAAGGCCTGGAAATATATAAAATTGAATCTTTTCACTGGAGATTCCTTAGAAAAGTGTTACGAGACATTGAGAGACCTGAATAAGAAAAGGAAATTGCTGAGGGATATTGAAAACGATAACATAACCGATGCGGTTGTGGCTGAACTCTATGGAGACACTGACATTTTTTTGAAAGAAAAACATGTTTATGACATAGTAAATATGGATATAGATGAGTTGGTTGCAAGAGAGTTTAATTTGCCCTAATAGATTTTTTTTCTGTAAGATTAATAAAATAGTAACAAATATATAGTTACATGTTACATTCAAATATTTTAGTTTTTTTTATTTATTTCATATATCTACAACCTAACCTTCCCAACCAAGAGAGAGAGAGAGAGAGTGTTGGTTTATTTACTTACCTTAGTTGACATACCCTTAGACCTTGCTGAATCGGACCATGGCCAGTTGAACCCTGTCATCGAAAGGATAAAAACCTTAGAACAAATTCAAAATACTTAGAGTTGTCTAAATATTAGACCACATCTTGGAGAATGTGTGATTAATAAAACTAGCGAAACACTTCAAGATGACGACAGTCATCAATCAGACGAAGAGAGTTCAAGCAAACTAGAAGAAGATGATGAAGAAAAGATACCTAGATTAGAAAAATCAAAGGTTTTCCTTGATTTAAGTAAAAACAATCTTCGGATTGTCACGGGGTTCTAACAGGACACTGTCTCCTCAACGAACACCTCACTAGGCTGAAGCTGAGAAACAACGGCGAATGCAGATTCTGTGGGGAAAATGGGGAAACACCAGAACACCTTATCACTGAGTGCGCCGAGACGACGACCTCTGTGAAGCCGTCTCAGATACTGGCTTTTGTTAAAGCCTTGAGACTGTATGATGAGTTATAACTCGTTATGACTCAGAAAAGGGAACACACAATAGATCTGTAAGGTTGCGGTGACTAACTGCCCTCCTAAACATTCTACATTTTACTTAGATCTATAAAAACTAAAAGAAAATTAATTAATGACGGATCTAAAGAAGAAACCTTAGATAACGATCTTCCGAGCTTACTTGGCCTCACTACCGACGCCGTGATAAAGAACCACAAAAAACTGAAAACGTGTTACCAAAGAAAGTTTGACAAGGCCTGGAAATATATAAAATTGAATCTTTTCACTGGAGATTCCTTAGAAATGTGTTACGAGACATTGAGAGACCTGAATAAGAAAAGGAAATTGCTGAGGGATATTGAAAACGATAACATAACCGATGCGGTTGTGGCTGAACTCTATGGAGACACTGACATTCTTTTGAAAGAAAAACATGTTTATGACATAGTAAATATGGATATAGATGAGTTGGTTGCAAGAGAATTTAATTTGCTCTAATATATTTTTTTTTCTGTAAGATTAATAAAATAGTAATAAATATATTGTCACATGTTACATTCAAATAATTTATTATTTTTTATTTATTTCATATCTCTACAACCTAACCTTCCCAACCAAGAGAGAGAGAGAGTTTGGTCTTTGGTGTTGGTTTATTTACTTACCTTAGTTGACATACCCTTGGACCTTGCTGAATCGGACCATAACCAGTTGAAACTTGTCATCGAAAAGATAAAAACCTTAGAACAGATTCAAAAGACTCAGAGTTGTCTAAAACTGATACCATTAGACCACACCTTGGAGAATGTGTTGCTAATAAAACTAACGAAATACTTCAAGATGACGACAGTCATCAGTCAGACGAAGAGAGTTCAAGCAAACAAGAAGAAGATGATGAAGAAAAAATACCTAGATCTATAAAAAGTAAAAGAAAATTAACTAATAATGGATCTAAAGAAGAAACCTTAGATAACGATCTTCCGAGCTTAGTGGATCTTACTGTTGTCGCCGTGATAAAGAACTACAAAAAACTGAAAACATGTTACCAAAGAAAGTTTGACAAGGCCTGGAAATATATAAAATCGAAACTTTTCACTGGAGATTCCTTAGAAAAGTGTTACGAGACATGGAGAGACCTGAATAAGAAAAGGAAATTGCTGAGGGATATTGAAAACGATAACATAACCGATGCTGTTGTAGCTGAACTCTATGGAGACACTGACATTTTTTTGAAAGAGAAACATGTTTCTGACATAGTAAATATGGATATAGATGAGTTGGTTGCAAGGGAGTTTAATTTGCCCTAATAGATTTTTTTTTCTGTAAGATTAATAAAATAGTAATAAATATATTGTTACATGTTACATTCAAATAATTTATTTTTTTATTTATTTCATATATCTACAACCTAAGCTTCCCAACTAAGTGTTGGTTTATTTACTTACTTTAGTTGACATACCCATGGGCCTTGCTGAATCGGACCATGGCCAGTTGAAACCTGTCATTGAAAAGATAAAAACCTTAGAAGAGATTCAAAAGACTCAGAGTTGTCTAAATATTAGACCACATCTTGGAGAATGTGTGATTAATAAAACTAGCGAAAACACTTCAAGATGATGACAGTCATCAATCAGACGAAGAGAGTTCAAGCAAACTAGAAGAAGATTATGAAGAACAGATACCTAGATTATAAAAATCAAAGGTTTTCCTTGATTTAAGTAAAAACAATCTTCGGATTGTCACGGGGTTTCTAACAGGACACTGTCTCCTCAACGAACACCTCAGTAGGCTGAAGCTGAGAAGCAACGGCCAATGCAGATTCTGTGGGGAAAATGGGAAAACACCAGAACACCTTATCACTGAGTGCGCCGAGACGACGACCATTCGTGCCATGAACTTTGGTACGGCTGATGTCAAGGATGGAGAGCTGGCCTCTGTGGAGCCGTCTCAGATACTGACTTTTGTTAAAGCCTTGTAACTGTATGATGAGTTATAACTCGTTATGACTCAGGAAAGGGGAACATACAATAGATCTGTAAGGTCGCGGTGACTAACTCCCCTCCTAAACATTCTACATTCTACCTAGATTTACAAAAACTAAAAGAAAATTAATTAATGATGAATCTAAAGAAGAAACCTTAGATAACGATCTTCCGGGCTTACCTGACCTCATTGCCGTTGCCGTGATAAAGAACCACAAAAAACTGAAAACGTGTTACCAAAGAAAGTTTGACAAGGCCTGGAAATATATAAAATCGAATCATTTCACTGGAGATTCCTTAGAAAAGTGTTACGAGACCTTGAGAGACCTCAATAAGAAAAGGAAATTGCTAAGGGATATTGAAAACGATAACATAATCGATGCGGTTGTCGCCAAACTCTATGGAGACACTGACATTTTTTTGAAGGAAAAACATGTTTATGACATAGTAAATATGGATATAGATGAGTTGGTTGCAAGAGAATTTAATTTGCATTAATATATTTTCCTGTAAGATTAATACAGTAGTAATAAATATATTGTAATATGTTACGTTTATGTGTTTAAACGTTAGTTATTATATATGGTTTGTTTATTTCCTTATCTTGAGAAACAATTATTCTTTAAACATATAATATTTATAATCAACAATGTTTATATTTGAAATGTTACCTATAAAGAGTTTTTATTCAAATATTTAAAAGATTCAAAGTAGTTTAATTGATACCATTAGGCCACACTGTGTAGATATAGAAAAAAAATCGACTACGAAAAAACTGTGAAGAGCATTTATAGCCAACTAGTCAAAGAAATTCCCAACCAAGTGCTGGTGTATTTACTTACCTTAGTTGATATGCCATTGGACCTTGCTGGATCGGACGATGGCCAGTTGAAACCTGTCATCGAAAAGATAAAAACCTTAGAACAAATCCAGAAGACTCAGAGTTGTTTAACTGATACCATTAGACCCCACCTTGGAGAATGTGTTACTAATAAAACTAGCGAAACACTTCAAGATGACGACAGTCATCAGTCAGACGAAGAGAGTTCAAGCAGACAAGAAGAAGATGAAGAAACGATACCTAGATCTATAAAAACTAAAAGAAAATTAATAAATGATGGATCTAAAGAAGAAACCTTAGATAACGATCTTCCGAGCTTACTTGACCTCATTGCTGTCGCCGTGATAAAGAACCACAAAAAACTGAAAACTTGTTACCAAAGAAAGTTTGACAAGGCCTGGAAATATATAAAATCGAATCTTTTCACTGGAGATTCCTTAGAAAAGTGTTACGGGATATTGAGAGACCTGAATAAGAAAAGGAAATTGCTGAGGGATATTGAAAACGATAACATAACCGATGCGGTTGTGGCTGAACTCTATGGAGACACTGACATTTTTTTGAAAGAGAAACATGTTTTTGGCATAGTAAATATGGATATAGATGAGTTGGTTGCAAGAGAATTTAATTTGCCCTAATATATTTTTTTTCTCTGTAAGATTAATAAAATAGTAATAAATATATTGTTACATGTTACATTCAAATAATTTATTTTTTTTTATTTATTTAATATATCTACAACCTAACCTTCCTAACCAAGAGAGAGAGAGAGAGAGAGAGTGTTGGTTTATTTACTTGCCTTAGTTGACATACTTTTGGACCTTGCTGAATCGGATAATGGCCAGTTGAAACCTGTCATCGAACAGATAAAAACCTTAGAACAGATTCAAAAGACTCAGAGTTGCCTAAATATTAGACCACACCTTGGAGAATGTGTGATTAATAAAACTAGCGAAACACTTCCAGATGACGACAGTCATCAATCAGACGAAGAGAGTTCAAGCTAGTGATGGGTTGTTATTTAACTATCTGTTATTTTATAACAATTATTTAGAAATAACATAACGCAACCGTTACTGCTTTTAAAAAATAACAGATATAAAATAACGACACGCAGAGATCGAGTGTTCGTGAAACGAAGTCGACGCTCTGCACCGCCACGAAATTCGATGCTGCTCGAAGCAATTCCAAAAAACAACTAGTATGGATGGAAAACCTATTATTTCGACAACCATCGATACAGGCGGCGAGATACAACGGACAACGGAGTGGGGTATGCGCTACGGCGCGGCGCGTCGTGTTGGGCTGACAACAGCTTAAAAATAATAGGATATAAAAGAAGCAGCTTTTTTGAAACAGTTGCGGGCATAACGCCTGGCTGTCGAGATAACAGGAGTGGGAAAGGAGCGCTGCTGCATCGGTCGATTGTCGATGGAGGCTCGCAACGGGTTGGAGAATAACGCATCAGTTGTTTTAGCTATGTTGTTTTTTTACCTGTTACGAGCATAACAGAACGGCGTTCGAGATAATCGGAGGTTTGAA